GGTATTCTAATTCTTAAAAGATTGCACCTTAAGTATTTTTATTTTCTAACTTAAGTACGGTACAATCTCTATAGGTTTGGTTTGCATTTCTGTTTTTCGTTTTCAATTTTGGATTCATTTTCTTTTTATATTCTGAGGGATTACTTTAAGATTGTAGAGCACGCATTTGATTTGTCATTCTGAAAATTTGTTTCTTAAAACAAAAAATTAGAAAATGCGTTGGTTTAAAATTTTTTAGAAATAGTTTTATGACATGTTTTTTCAACTAATTTGATTATTTAGTAAAACATATCAATTTTATGCCAATATGTGATAAAAAAATAAAAATTTTAAATTTGGTAAAGAAAAAGGATTCATTGTACGCATATCTCCGATAATAAATCATTATCACTCGTATCAATTATGCACTTACCATAATCATTTATAATAATACTTCAACAAATATAAACATCATCAAAATCCAATACATCAAGTTGGGGGAAATACTATTTTTATTGTGTTGGTTAGTGATATAACCAAGTATTTGTCCCGACGTATTTATCCCGAGGACTCTATTTCGTCGATATGTTTACCAATATGCTCGGGACATATGTGCTCGGGTATCTCCATATGCCCGAGCTATTAGCCCCAAGAATTATTCGACAATCATTCGACATGTCCTCGGGATTATGTCTCTCGGGATTATGACCTACGTCAACGCCTTATCCAACGAGAAATTTGTTCCGACTAAAAATCCTCAACTCATGTCTCCTATGCCCAGAAGAACTCTATTGGTATCACAGTTATACCGCAATTCAAACTCCTATCTTGCGTAGGACTCATTGGGATAAGATTGCAAAATCAAGCTGTCCTACTACAGGTGCACTACGGAATCCTAGTATGAACACACCACCTACCTCTATAAATACAGAACCTTGAGCCATTATTCAGGTACGTTTTTCATTGTTCTCCAGCACATAGCCTCACGCACAAAATTCCCTTTCTGACTTAAGTATCGGAGGGGCGACGAGAACACACCTCGTTGCCTTTGTTTCAGGTACCGGAAGATCACGTTCGTTCTCCTTATCAGTCATCAAGCTCGGGAAATCTACAGGTATGATTTTTGATAGCGTCATTGGCGCCGTCTGTGGGAACCGCTACCAAAAGCCACGGTAAACACACGATCAGGTCTTCCACCAGCAACCTCATCTGCTCCAAACCAACCCCCTCCTGAGGATATCCCTGTTCCTCAAGAGGAATCATCAGAAGTGCCAAAGCCCCAGCCGACAGTCGTCACTGCTGGAGCATTTGAAGAGCTCAGACAACAGGTCGCCGCACTGACTCAGTTGCTAAGTCAAAAAAATTCGCATCCATCACCCACACCGGCACCCCAGGGGGGTTTTATGGCTGATGCTCGAGCTCGAGCTCATGTCCCTGACAATGGCAGAGCAGGGGCCTCGGGTATACCACATGTGACCTCGGCCTCGAGATCAGTGACCATGGAGTCCGGGGAACTCGCTAGGATTATTCAAGAAGGAATTACGGCGGGCCTACTTCAGGGCAACAAAGGGACGACAAGATTCAGTCCCAATACTCCATTTACTCCCGAGATATTAACATTCCCCTTGCCAGAAAGATTTAAGTATCCTAGGATCAAAGAATATGATGGGACCACCGATCCAATCAATCATCTTAACGTATACACGGACGTCATGAATCTACAGGTCGCACCAGATCAGGTGATGTGCAAGGCCTTCCCGCAAACTTTGACGAATGCTGCTAGGGATTGGTTCTCAACCTTAGAGCCTAACTCCATAGCCTCATTCTCGGATTTGGAGGACAAGTTCTCTGCTTTCTTCGCAAGCAGTAAACGCATTAGGAAGACAGCGGCTTCCCTCATGCAACTTAGACAAGGGCAAAATGAGACCCTACGTGACTTCATAACCATGTTCAACAAGGAAAGACTTCAGATTCCTGACCTACACATAACAGCAGCAGTTTCTGCCCTCACATATGCCATAAAGTGTGAAGCTTTCAAGATGTCTTTATCCAAAACTCCGCCAAAGACAGTGACCGAGCTTCTTACCCGAGCCGAGAAGTACATAAATATGGAGGAAACATTGAACCCGAGAAAGGTTGGACCACCCCATGACAGGGTCGAGCATAAACGACAGAACGATCCGAACCCTCGTGAAGACAACATCGGAAAAAACAGAGACAGGAGGTTCCCCCGACGTCATTCACGTGTTTAAATACGTCAAAGACAAATATATTGATGGAGATCAAGGATATGAAGGAACTCAAATGGCCTGTCAGAATGAGGTCACCACCCGAATCCAGGGACATGAACAAGTACTGTGAGTTCCATCGGGATCATAGGCATACCACGGAGAACTGTAAGGCCCTGCAATGGGAGATTGAAGCCCTTATTAAAAGAGGACTCCTGAGTTCCTACCTCGGTAACGACAAACACCTGAAGAATGATCGTGGCAAGGAAAAAGCCCCTGAGACAAAAAGGGATTGTCAACCCACTGCTGGAATCATCAATATCATCATTTGGGGTATTGCCTCGGGAGGAGACTCCAACAGTGGAAGAAAACAATATGCCCAACAATATGCCTTGGCCTCTGGGATGCCTCATGGAAAGCTGGAGGATATTACTTTTGGCACCGGGGACTTAGAAGGTGTATCACTTCCACATGATGATGCCTTGGTAATCTCAGCGATTGTGGCCAATTTTGAAGTAAAGAGAATCTTGGTTGACAACGGGAGTGCGGCCAATATACTTTCACAAGAAGCTTTTGCCAAAATGGGAATCTCATCTCAGTAGCTCAAAGCGGTTAAAACTCCTCTCCAGGGGTTTGGGAGAGGAGTCATCACTCCAGAGAGTGTCGTCGAGCTTCCTCTAACTTTGGGTTCTGGCCAGAAACAGGTTACGGAGATGACATCTTTTCAAGTGGTACATGTCTCAATGGCCTATAACGCTATTCTGGGAAGACCACTCCTGAACAAGATTAAAGCCATTGTGTCTACCTTCCACCTAGCCATGAAGTTTCCAACAAGTAATGGCATTGGGGTCATGCGTGGAGACCAGACAGCTGCCAGACAATGCTATGTTGCCAACATTCGAGAAATAAATAACGACGTCATGCAAATCTCGAGGATGGATCCTGAGGACGGGCAATAAGTCAGACTTGCTCCTGTCGAAGAATTGATGGAAATTGAGCTCGAGCATGATAAGAAGGTGACGATTGGTCGGGATCTTGATGTCACCCTGAAGACAGAACTTGTTGGTTGCTTATCTCGCAACATTGATGTTTTTGCCTGGAAGGTTGAGGATATGTCAGGGATAGACCCTAAAATTGCAGTCCAGAGACTTAACATTAGCCCAGGGGCCAGACTAGTAAAGCAGAGGAAAAGACAGTTTGCCCCAAAACGTCGGGAGGTCATTCGCGAAGAAATTAACAAGCTCGTCAGTGCTCAATTCATTCGGGAGGTCCAATATCCCGATTGGCTTGCCAATGTTGTTCTAGTGAAAAAGGCCAATGGAAAGTGGAGGGTCTGCATTGACTTCACAGATCTTAACAAAACATGTCCAAAGGATAGTTATCCCCTACCGCGGATTGACAACTTGGTGGATAGCACGTCTGGACATAAGCTCTACAACTTCTTGGATGCATTTTATGGTTATCATCAAATCCTTATGGCCGAGGAAGATCAAGAAAAGACATCATTCATGGCTGATTCCGCCATATACTGTTATAAGGTCATGCCTTTCAGTTTGAAGAATGCAGGGGTAACATACCAAAGGCTCATCAATAAAGTCTTTGCTAACTTGATTGGAAGGAATGTGGAGGCGTACGTTGATGACATGGTGGTCAAGAGCAAACAGGTGGACCAGCATATTTCAGATCTTGAAGAGGTTTTCGACACCTTGCGAAAGTACGGAATGAAGTTGAACCCCGCAAAATGTGCATTTGGCGTGGCCTCGGGCAAGTTCTTGGGCTTTATGATCACTCATCGGGGGATAGAGGCCAACCCTGACAAAATACAAGCCTTAGCGTCTATGGAATCACCAAGGAACAAGAAAGAGGTACAGAGGTTGACTGGTAGGATAGCAGCCTTGAACAGGTTCATGTCCCGAGCATCAGACAGGTGCTATCCCTTCTTCAAAGTCCTCAGAGGAAACCAAGGCTTTGATTGGAGTGAAGACTGTGAGAAAGCTTTTCAGGAACTCAAGCA